TGTCCCCCGCAGGGCCATGGGCCAGTGAGGAGCATCTCGTCTCATAGTGGGGTTGGCCATGTGGTCCTCTCTGTGGACTGGCTGCTCTATTTGGCCTGGTGGGCCAGGATGTGCTCCAGTCTCTCCTCCTCCCCCGTCATCTGTTCCTATGTGCTCTGGTCAGATATATCCTGGAACAGTCTGATTTTATTCAGCACAGGCATCTATGTTCCCTTGGTGATTGGAAGTGGGCAGAGGGTCAAACAGTAACTCCTAAGGGAGGAACCATAAGGCCTCACTGACTGGTCCCCTGGCTCAGAAGATGAGATGATCTGCAGCTAGCCAGGCATGACAGCAGAGTCACTGGTCCTTCCAGAGTGAGGACAAGGAGACTCCCGCAGGAAGATGTCGCGTCAGACTTAGCCTCACTCATCACACGTGCTAGGTACAGTCACCAGGAGACCAGGAGCCTTCGTGGCATTCACTGGCGACAGACTCTCGAAGGCCTATCTCCCCAGTAACTGTTGCTCCTCTGTACCGCCACCACGGGGGATGGGGAGCCCCAGGTCTCGTGCTGGGGGACGGTTTTCCAACTTCTACTGCTGTCACCCCAAATCTGTCACCAGGCTAACTCACCTGCACCGGCTCCTCCAAGACTCCACTGCAAATAGGACAGATCAGGTCTTCATCGACATCGCCCTGGAAGCGGGTTACATCATACCCCATGTCTCATCACTGAAACCCAGGCCCTGCAAGAAGAAACAAGAGACCGGTTCAGGAAAGCCTACAAAAATACATGGCCAACAAATGCTTACTGAGCGCCTACTTTGTGCCATTCATTTGGGGCAGAAACAACAACTGAACAAAAAGCCTTGATTCTAATGGGGAAAGACATTAAATAAATGAACATTTAAATGGGGGATGGACAACAGAAAAGTGGGTGAAGATAGGACAAAATAATAATAATTTCTAAATTTTCAGGGGTTCATGAGGGAGAGGGAAGCGGGCAGGGAGAGGAAAAAAATGAGAAGTTGATACCAAGGGCTCAAGCAGAAAGCAAATGTTTTGAGAGTGATGATGGCAACAAATGTACAAATGTGCTTGACACAATGGATGTATGTATGGATTGAGATGAGTTGTATGAGTCCCTAATAAAATGATTAAAAAAAAAAAGAAATGAAAACAATGAAAAGATTTAGGAATTAAAAAGTGGAACAGAAAAGAGAATTCAGAAACAAATATGTTAAATTATTACATATTACAGATGTCCTATATCAAAAATTAAAGGGCAAATGGGCATATTTTTAATCAACTATCCTAGAACAATGGGCTTTGCAAACAGAAAAAATAAAGTTTGAATTCTATTTTATTCCACATAAAAAAATACATTCCAAGTAGTTTAGAAATTTGAATATAAGCATAAAAATATTGTTGTTATATTATCCTCTGAAAAAATGGTTTTGTTATGGCACAGAATCTAGGAACTATAAAGGAAAATCAACCAAACTTACTATTCAAACAATATAAGCATACATTTAATGGCTCCCCCCAAAACCAAAAACATTTAAAGTACAAGTGACAAAGGGCTTCTGGTATGAGGTAAGCACAGGGCATTAGGAGGACAAGGGATGTGGACACCTCATCTAGGCTGGAGGTGCCCGTGGGTGTTGTGGTCACACCTCGGGCTGCGATCGCATGGTCAGCAGTTTGAAACCACCAGCAGCTGCGGGGAGTAAGACTGGGCTTTCCACTCCCGGAGTGAACAGTACAGTCTCGGAAACCCAAGGGCCGGCTGTGAGTCAGCATCAACTCGGCGGCAGAGAGAACGAAAACAAACAACAAACCTAGGCTGGAAGCTGAAGGAGGCGCTGATTTTGGCAAGTTTTCTAGGACTCCATGTCACCAGGAATCAGTTCTACAGGACAGAGGTGTTTCTGGTGGCCAGCACATTAAGGTTTTAGCATATGAAAGAGTACATTCAAGGTCCTGATGTAAGAAGATACATGATGGTTTGGGCTCAGAAACAGGCCGACCTGAAGGATGTAAGGAATGGACTATCAAGGTACAAGGCAGCCAAGGCAAGCACAGGCCAGGCCATGAGAAGTCGTATCTGAGGAGTTGGGCTTTATCCCGAAGGCTAGGGAGCCACTGAAGAGAGAAAAAAGGATGACCTAGGAAAGGTTCCCTTCTAAAATCACTCGGTCAACAGGTGAGACTTGGGACAGGAAGAACGCCCAGGCAAGGCACAGGTGGTGAACGTTTGCACTTAAGTCACTGACCCGTTTGGGGGTCGAACGACCCTTTCACAGGAGTCACCAGATTCTTAACAGGAGCAAAATGACAGTGATGAAGTAGCAATGAAAATAATGTTATGGTTGGGAGGTCACCCACATGAGGAACTAACTGACTGAGAGGGTCGTAGGCTAGGAAGGTTGAGAACCACGGCCTTAAGTAGTGCCCATGGGGATAAAGACAACATGCTCAGGAGAACTCGAGGCCCAGCTGCCATGTCCTTCTTTGGGTTCACAAGGGCCAAATCCAAAGACCAGTGATGGAAACTTCTCCGTGTGTACCCAACCGGTGGGTTCACTGGATTAAGGATGAGCTCTTGACCAGGGCGCCCAAATCACAGACCGGCCATCAACTTGTGACGGCCTAGAAAGGAGGGACCGGGCCCATCAGACGGTTCTCGGGAACTGGGAACCAAGCTATCCTGCTAAGAAACAGAGATGTAAAGAGTGGGGATTGCGGGCACAGAGATTTTTATTGATTTATTTTTGCACTGTTGTGATTACATTTCTCGGAAGGGTGAGAGAAAAATAAAATGCCATTTAAAGGTTTAAGAACTTGTGAGTTAGCTAAAAATCATCCTCAAATTAACTCTGAAGAGGACAGACCCTTGGTCACTTCTGAATATCAAAGTTCACAGAGGTTTTCTTGAATATAGCCTACATTAATGAAGTAATGGTACAAAGTCCTCTCTTTTCCACACTAGATACATTTTGGTTTCAGTCACTTTCAGTGGAGGAGCAACAAGCACACCACCACTGCCCGGAGCAAAGAGCATGAGAATATTCCATTGCAAAATCCAGGGAATCCAGGGCAGGTGAACCCCTCAGGACCAATAATGAGAGTAGCCATATCAGGAGGGTGAAGGGGAAGGTGTGGGGAGAAAAGGGGAGGGCATCACAAGGATCTACATTTACCCCCTCCCTAGGGGATGGATAACAGAAAAGTGGGCGAAGGGAGACATCAGTCAGTGTCAGACATGACAAAATAATAATTTATAAATTATCAAGGGTTCATGAGGGAGGGGGGAAAATGAGCCGGTGCCAAGGGCTCAAGTAGAAAGCAAATGTTTTGAGGATGATGGCAACACATATACAAATGTGCTTGATACAATGGATGGATGGATGGATGGAGTGTGATGAGTTGCACAAGTCCTCGATAAAATGATTTTAAAAAGAAAAAAAAAAGAACATTCCATTTTAGTATTTTATTTATCTCTTCATATGTTTGTTCATCAATTTCTACAGTAGTCAGTTTCTGCCACATCTGTCAACATCATATTTAATTACTGATCATAAGCATGTAATCCCATAAAGGCATTCATCCAGACTAAGTCTAATGAGATCCAGAAGCTCCCCTACTCTGCTAGTACTGTGTTGCTGGTCCACATCACGTTTCACCCCTTTCAAAGAGGTCCTTACAAAGGTCCATGCAAAGTGCAGTACAGTACTGGGTTGACTATCTACATCTACTTCTCTGTGTGACCTTGGGAGGCAGGCCAGGTACTGCTATAAACCTAAAGGTTTTTGTTTTTTAAGAGATAAAACTGGAATAATAAAAGTGGTTTTCAGCGTGGTCCTCAAGGAGGTAATGCATGCAGAACATCAGGCATGTGGTAATTATACATGGTTATAATTACTTCTGTATGTATCAAATTTCCACTATTAAATGAACCATTCTAAAACTTGAAAAGGAATTTGTGTTCATGTCTGCATCCAATACAGATCAAGCACAGTTCTTTCCATATTTGTAACAAATAAAATACATGGTAGTAGGCTTACAAGCTGCTGCCCAGCAGCTGGGCAATAGTGGACCCCTACTATTTGGTCTAGATAGCACCCTATCCCACCGCCCGTCAATGAGCTTGTCATCTGTGGTGGCTTTGGTGTTGCTAGGGTGCTAGAAGCTCTGTCAGAGGGATTTTACCTATCAGAGGGTTGTCCATGGTGAACAGGTTTCAGCAGAGGTTCCAGACAAAGAAGGATGTAGTGGTCTGCTTCCCACCCCCACAAAATGGCTAGTGAGAACCATATGAATAGCAGAACGGCTCTGTGACAGAGTGCTGGAGGCACTTAAAATACAACTAAAGAAGAGCCGCCGCCTCAACGCAGAGGCGGCTTTCATGACAGTGGTGGACCAGCCTCCACAGGCGAGAATGGTGTCATTGCAGGATATATTAAGGAAACATCAGACAAGGCATGCAAGGGCTCACCTCTTCTATGGAGACCACAGGCTTACAAAATCTCAGGCATGCAAGCCCCCCATCATACACATATGGAACAGGACAGAGGCCTAAGATGAAGGAGACATGCCAGGGGCACTGATGTGACAGGAAGGTACATATGCAACAAGATGGGTGGGTTCTGGGGTTGAGAGGGTGGTTTCACCTTGGTCGTCTCTGAGCTCTCGTGACCTTAGGTGTCCCTGAGCTCTTCTCCAGGGGAACAGTCTATGACCCTGATCAAAAGGGAGGGGGCTGTCCTTAAGGTGGGCGGTCTTGATGGCAGACAATCTTCAGGAATAGCCTTCAAGCACTTGACCTTCAAGTGTACATATAAGCAACCATGTGCTTGCAAGTAGCACCTTCAAACGGTCATCATTACGGGCGACATCATGGGGAAGGGCTTCAGTTGGGAGAATGTAACTGAGATTCATCTCCCCCTGTGAGCGTGAAGGTCTCCCTCCACGAGTATCTCAGCCTCCCAGACTCCTTTAAAGAGGAGTGTGGAGAATTTGTTCCCACACACTCTATTCCCAGTTCCTGGTTTCCCACAGACTAGAGCTTTCAGGATTTTCATTTGCGGACAGTCCCGAAACAGCTGCAAGCAACCAATAATAATCATAATGTGGAGTGCATGAAGTATTGGATTTAAAAAATCAGACATTGCCAAAAATGAAATTAAACCTAAACCGATCAATATCCAAGGCATTGCTGAGCTGAAATATATTGGTAATGGCCATTTTGAACTGGACAATTGTGTTTGACCATCGTGGGAATGATGGACTGAGAAGAAATAGTGTTACATCCATTATCCAAAAGAACATTTCAAGATTGATCCTAAAGTACAATGCTGTTGAGTGATACAAGAATATGCATACATATACAGAGACCAGTTAACTTACGGGGTTTTGAATTTGTCATAATACAACCGCCAATCTAAACTGGAATCATGCATACCCAGGGACAAACAGATGGAGTATGGGCCTCTGTGGTAAACTGAGGGACAGGAGGAGAACGTCAGGTAGCTAAATCCTCCATGCTCATCACTATGGGCCTGGAAAGCCAACTCCAATGGGGGAAGACCCTCATGGTTCTGATATAAATAAATCTTAACATACATTCTCACGACTGAACAGAGTGCTTCCAAGAACCCCCTCTTAAGGAGCAGTCATAAAGAAGCTACCACAAAAGCTATCTCATACCTACGCCTGGCTACTCCCTGTGCCTGAAGGTTATCTG